GTTTTTATTCCGCAGTGATTGAGCCGCCATATTTTTCCCCAAACGATCATTGGAGAATTGATCTTGGTGAAATCTAGGGGGTATCTTTGAACGTAATTTACACGTTCATTCCTCAATTTTCCACCCCTGAGACCTAATTACCGGCACGGCAAAAATAATTATCTGTCGATTGACCCTACAATTATATTTTTTGAGGGCCTACAGGGGCTGGCATTTCGTTACCCGTAAAACGCCTTTTTTCTAGGGAATTTCCTAGGGACATGTCGGGCAAAAATCCCTCCACCCGGGCCTTAACTTTCTCATATTAATTTTATGATTTTTGGCCCTTTTATGCATAAAATTAACTACCACCCAACTACCACGCAACATCCACGCAACATACACGCTATTGCGTGTTCCCTCAACCGCCAGGGCAGACCATGCCTCACCAGTTTGCAAAACTACACTGGAGACTTTCCATGACAGCTCGTTATCAATCACAATGATTGAATGTTCTGAAATTCTTAACAGTGAAATAAATTGTTCCCCGAAACAGTTAACAATGAGCCTGGAAAGTGCCGATTCTCATTCAAGTTTTATTAGTTCTGGTAGGAGAAAACTGATGTTCGCGGGTATTTTATCGTGGGTTCGAGATTAAGAATGTTTATAAAATTACTTAAGAAAAGCTTTATTAACTACAATAAAAATATTTCAAAAATATCTTCTATCAGTCTTGGAATATTTTCAATGTTTTCGAAATTGAACCTAAAGTTTAATTAAATTTTTAATTTTAAGAAGACCCGAAGAAAATAGGAAATTTCTAATCACGTAGGCTCTTCGAGAAGTACATAAAGTGCCCCGTGGGGTTGAACGATGGTTGACTCAGGATATTCTTGGAAGGGCTGGAAAAGCTTCGACTGCAATATCCAAGTTCCATCCATCCTCCTATAAAATACAATATACACACCGTCTGGGTTCTGCACAACAACGCTGGTCAACCTGTAACATTAATTATTAACAAACTTTAATTAGCTTTCCGGGAATTGAATGATCTAAATAATTATGAATACATTATGAATATAATACCTGTGACGATCTTTGAAAACCAACTCTTTTTGAATTTGACTCAGTGGGCATTTTTTTGGCAGGCCCAAAGATTTGGTACAGCTCAGTTGAACGAAAACGAGGCCATTGTAAACATAGTCAACAGTACATGACTCCGAACATTTCGGACATTTCACCTTATACAGTCTCCTATGAACATCCAAAAGCTTCTCTAGACCTTGAAAATTACTCCGCAAAATTTTCGCACTGTCAGGCTGAAGGACACAAACACTTTCAGTGAAGCCACAGCTGCACCAGTATTTTTTAATTAAGGTGGGATTTTTCCTCATGCATCTTTCCCAAGTATCAACGATATGCTCAGACAAAGTGATTTTATATTCAGCCCTAATATTAGCATCACGAAGTTGAATTCTGTGAGCAAAACAAGCAAAAACCAAAAACCAAAATTAGAATTAGAATAGAATAAGAAATAGAAATAGAACTAGAATAGAATAAGAAATTCAGGTGTTTTCTTTATTCGTTAAAATCGGTAACCAGTGTTTGAAAAATTAATTGGAATCGTAACGTTAAGAAAGAGATTTGGATGTAATCGATGAAAAGGCCTAACGCAAGTTTATCACAAATTACTCGTTACCAATTTATATTTAATTAAATCAATTTCCCTGTTCCGGGAAAATTTTTAATAATTTTTTTTTAGGTATTTTTTTCTGTACGCAAACAGTTGATAATATTTCGTCTATTAAAGTCGTTTCGCGATCAGAGTATAAAAATTTGTGTGAATAAAGGAGAAAAAATATAAGGATAAATGAATCCATACTGATCATATCACTGGAACACTTACATGACAATGCTTCCATCCTTCCTGTATTGAGATTCACCCACATTCGACCAGACTCTGAAATGGCAATCATGTAAGCAAAAATTTTTAGACGGCATGCATCACATATGTTTAGTTTAATTATCACTCATTCCTACAATAAATCAAATCTTCTCTCGAAAGAGCATGAACACTTGAAAAACTGGATTCCCCCATTGCCAATCTGTACAGCAAATTATGCTGATAGGTCTCAGTTTTGAAAGTCTTTTGAAGTAAGCAAACTACACACCACACAATAACTAGTTGTATCGTTTTCACAGCACAGACAGCTTTTATCTTCGTGATTTTTTTCAACTCCCTGTAACCATAGCACTTACTCAATGGCGGCAATGAAACTCATGATAACATTTGCTCCAAATGGGCATGATCCCATTAACACTTGATAGGTATTCAACAATGATAATAATGTTATAAGTACTCACCTGACCGACATGGTTGACGTATCATAGCGACTACCACAATAATTAAATGGCAAAATTGTAATTGGCTCCGAAATGCGTAGAAATAAAAGCACCGTGCACCTTCTCCTTTTAAACAAACATGGTGACGATTGTCGATACAGCTGTAAAGCCATTTGGAAAAGAGGGGGAGGGGTAAATGGAGCGCTGAGTGCCTGTACCGTCCGCTACCTCTAATATACTATTTACTTATTTCTGAGCAAACAAATGGTTTTTAACCGTTTTTAATATTTTACCATTGTTTACCATTGAAATATGTATTTAATTTAATATTTTCAAAATTTTTAGTTCATTACCCCCGGCTGGCAAGTGGCAAATTTTTTATAAATTAATTTTGTTTAAACAATGCATACCAAAAATTTAAAAATGTCATACCATTATTCACCATAGGCTGGGGAATGCATACCAATTGCATTATTTTAATTAAGGAACAACTACCGGTAAACTATGGTGAACTGATTGCTGCTGCCATTTTTATGCATCGCCGAATGTTATTCACATCTCTATTCTTCTAATTTGCTATTCTGTTTATTTAATTCATAACCAGTTTGCATGGCAACCGATTGAATGACATGGATTATTCGAAAAGCCACTAAAAAAGGAACAACGGTAAGCCTGTATACTTGTTCATTACCAATTATTTTTCATTTACGTTGTAATTTTTCCGTCATTTTTACACTTTGATTTTTATTTGTAGTATAAAATTGCAATGTGTTATTTTTACAAATTTTAAATGAATTCAATATTGCGTGATATCAGAAAGCTGTGAAGTGCCTGATCGACGTATAGATAATTATTCTCACATACTGTCTATTTCTTACAGATTATATGTTAAGTCTTTTGATCATTTTGCATCTGGAGAGCTCGAGAGGATTCATAGTTGATTAATTTTGGAATTTTGCTGAAGATCTTTCCCAGTAATAAACTAGATGAGAATTTTTCTTTATTTAAAAGATAAGACTTGAATAAATTTTGTAATCATCATATTTTTTTATTGGAAAACAAATAAATATTCATCTTTGATAGAATAACTTTCGTAATTGATATTTTTTTTAACATGCTTAGCAACTCATTGCACTTTTTAAAATATGAATTAATCCAACCAGTTCAACGAATTCTACATCTGATGTCATTTGGATGTTTGGCTGCTGGTTGTCGCACAACCACCACTTTCCATTCACTAAACTAAAGGCCACGTATCGGTCATGAAATGCACTGATGACCCCAGCAATTCTGCAACAATATTGAATAATTGTACAATAGAAACCAAAGGAATAATATTTGAATGTAATTGATGTAAAGTAATACTCACTGATACTGATCGCCCATTTCAATCATTTTAAATACATTCCCAAGCAAACACTTAGTTGATCGCTTCAAATGAATGAATAGATGGAAATTGGGTGTTGTCTGTACATTACATCTGCTGGTACAAAGAGGTCGGCGACATTGCACCTTTTTTAAAACTTCATGAAACTCCAGAGGTAAAAGTAACTTGTTTGATGTGATCAATGATTTAGTAATATTCGGCTCCAAGATCGAAATGGGTTGGATATAGCTCCCACAAGTACAATCAGACTTTTTCCATTGGCTCGGTTTATTCAAAAGACAATTCCTCCAAACATCGGCTGGTGTACCACAACTTCGGTTTCTAATATTGGAATGTCATTCCACATTTTCTCAGTAGAATAACATACGTCAGTGTCACGAAGAGATAACAATATTTGCGCCCTGCTCCTGTAGATGAGATCGTGAGATTGATTGGAAAGAAGACTATTGATTAATTCGAATGTCTCATTTCCTTCTGAATTGTTGATTAAAGCTGCGTAATCGGGATTGTGCCAAACTACATGAATAATTTCAACTCACTTTCTTTTGGACCCTTTTTCGATGAAATCGGTCGAGGTATTTCATCCGTACCTGGAAGAAATCCATCTCTATTTTTTCACTGTTAACTGTTGCAAGATCACTTCCACAAATTGTTGGAATTGTTCTAAAACCGCTTTGTCATTCAGTTGCAATTATGTGACGATTATTCAGGAAAAAACATTCAACAGTGGAGATCATATTCTCTGCCTCTGAGAATGGAGATATTATTAATTAGATTCACATGTAATTAAATTGAGAGCTATATTCAAGCAAAATGGCCTGTGGTTGGAACGATCACCGTCCAATTTTGAAAAAAAAATTATTAAAACTAGTTACAGGAGAAAAATGATTGAAATTATTCTTCACTTCATCCATTGTATTAACTACACTCAATCGGTTAATTATGACTTACATTTTGGATAATAAAATGAATCTGTTGTTTCGGAGTAGTTTATCGCCATGCTCCGAAATGCAAACCGTCAGCTGTTGGATGCAATATGGCGACCTCCCTACTCCGCCTCCGTTGAGCTCAGTAACTCCAAAATGATTTTTAATCAACAATTCATAATTAGTGTTCTGTAGGGGATTGATGATCATCTATCAATCACCTGCAAACGATTCTCGATCGTTTGAGCGGTCATTCAACATTCTAGGGGTAAATTTAAAAAAAAAGATGATAAGTTCCGTTGAAATATTTCATTTTTTTGAAAAATTCATTAAAAAAACCGATGATCGATCAAACAATAATTCTTATCTATCATAGACCTGCAAAGGACCTTCAAACGATTGGGCATGTGCGGGATAATTAATTAGAATAATAAGTTGATAACTTCTCGGAGCTTGATATATGTACATTACTAGCTACTGCCACGCCTCCAGTGGTGCTTTCCCAACATTCTATATGGATGAAAGGCTCCAGCAGAAACGCACAACGCTTGACAGATGCAGTAGTGTGTGCGTGTGTAGACCAATGTCGACTATTCGGTTTTTTGGAGTTCATCATATCGTGATGCACGTGATTTATTATCGTATTCTGGCTAATCTGTGATATGTATAAAGCTGTAAAAGACTTTCTGGCTGCCGTCAATATTCATCAACCCATTAATTCTGTAAACAATCCAGTCTTACGAGCCTTTGTTTCTTTCAGTGGTGATTGCGAATAATTAATTTATAATTATAACCCGGTTTATAAATACCTACGATTCGGGTATCATCTCTCGAGATGTTATGAGCTGATGAAATTCATAAAAGGAATATTTAACTTGACATATAATAGTTGCACTGAGCTAATGCCTGAAGTCTGCATAGAATAATCCATTACGATGTATGCTTTTTTCTTCACATACATAGTTTTTTTGTGTATGTTTGAATTAAGTCATTTCAAAATGATTCTTACGGAAGCCAACTAATTGAAGAATTTTTTTTTCTTGAAAATTGTTACATTGTGACGTTTCCACTCATCAGCAGTGCCCCATCAGCAATGGGATCGATTAATGTTCTTCAGTGGTATTTGCTTCTTTTTCATTAGTTTAGCAATTAAAGGACGTTTCCTGGGCAGATAAATAAATTTATTTGTATAAACTACTCTTTTTTTGCAATGTACCACGAGAATAGACTGGTTCAATGGCATGCAACTACTGAGAATATTAATGGGTAATCGATGGAACGTCTAGGACTTGGCGCAAGACGCGGTACGTGCCAATATAGACTCATGGGTGCGGTGTGATAAAACAAATAATACTATCTCTTTTTCTCATAATATTATTAAAGTACATCATTGGTGAATTGGAGCGTACAATTGGAAAATTCAGAAGTGGTAAAGTGAATGATGATAGACTGTGAGGAAGGAAACTGTTTGTGTATACGTGTTGACAAGTCATTTTGAATGCCAACAGTAAACTATGACGACTACTGGTTAACATTATTCCAGTGGATTTTTACCTCCATGACATTTGTGTTTACATCAACTGGAATACTATAATAATAATATATATCCATTATGATATACCAGCGTCAAAACTACTGCTCCTACGTTTTAATTACTGGTTTATCGAACTGAAATATCCATAATTCATGGAGAATAATTTAAAATCTCTCAGGACGAAACTGGTTAAAGTGGACAAAGTGAACTTTTTGAAAATACGTACGTATTTATAGTGGAGAAATAATAAATTATACTGGAGCACTTGGTGTCTTTTGGATTGTCGAACAGAGACGGTCAGTGATTGTTACTCAATGAAAATAAAATCAAACGAGATATGAGAAAATACACCAACGTCGGAGATTATCAGAGGTTCTTAACTCGAGAATATTTAAGAAACAGTATTATTGGTAAAGGAAGACTACGTTGATTCAATTTTGGGATATATTGGTTCAACGTAAAAGGTGTAAGGAGACAAAAATGTCGCAGACAAAGATTACGTGCGTTTCCCAATGCAGCATTACTATGAAGTATTTTATAGCCCTTTTATTGACCAATTATATAGTTTTCGCTCAGAATGAAGGTGGCCAGAGGTTCGCTGCACATTTTTCCAATGATGATAATGCTAACAGCGCAGGTAATAATTTTTTAAACTTGAAAAAAAGAGAATTATTTCACGAATCCTTGCTATTATAAATAAACTTCTTCGTAATAAGTTATAAATCGTTATTGATCAGAATGTTCCAAAACGTAGTATCATATATTGGACTATGAAAGTAACTATTTTTGCGCGAATCAAATAGATTCAGGATTAGATTTATTTTTGACATTAGATTGACTATGAGACGTGATTTGTCGTTCATCATTTTTTGTATGGATTTATAAAGTTTTCGTATCTATTTATTGCTGCAGTTCATCGATTGTCAGGAGATTACAGGATTATATGGTCAAAGTTATACAGTTTGTGATTAAAATTGCAGATCCATCTCGAACCAGTGGGGTTATGTCGTTTTCATATTCGACAGATGTCTTATAGGGCATCTTGATATTGTCATTCAATATTTCCATTAACAAGCTACACATTACTGCATATATAATTATTATCGTCTAATATTAGATAGGTCATTTAGCAACAACTTTTTCACGTAAATATTACAAGCATCCATAAATACATTGAGATATGAACTCTGGGAAAACTAATACTTGTGACACTTTGATGCAAGCGGGAGCGACTATGATTTTATCATTTTAACTTTTTACATATATTTTACATATCTGAAAGAACATTGTATATCTCACAAATTACACATTTGTAAGAAAAAACCCGAAATGTCACCAGAAGCTTATGAAAATCTGTAAATGTGACTTTTTTTATTTTTCAAGTCGAGCTACTCAAACGTAATTTAAACCTTGACAAACATTTATCCTTTGACAGTGGATTAAACTTCGGGAATTAGAATGGGGAAAAAAAAGAAAAAATATCACCATTAGATTGGGGCAAATTCTAATGGTGACATTTTTTTTTATCACTTTCGACCCTGATGGTTCATACCCAGAGTCCAACTCTGGGTTGTGTCCAGCAACCCAGTCTGGGTTAGGCAAAAACACAGAGTTGAGGTTAAATGGTGAATTTGGGGGAGATCTAAACGCAGGGTGTACTATGATCTTTTTCCGATTGTTGCTGAGTCATTTTAAGCATATAATGATATTGTTGAAGGATGTGGATAATTAAATGAATATGTTTGAACGCTAATGTGCTAGCTCTGGGTAAAATCCAAAACCCAGACAGATGATTTTTATTCATTAACGAGGTAGCAATGTTGCTGAACAATTCTGGGGATAACTGTATGTTCAGAGCGAACACGGGAGGTGTATTAAAATAAGGGGAAGGGTGGCAACAATTGTTTGAGGGATGAAATGCCAACTCTGGGTCAACACTCGGTCACAGTCTCCATCCCAGAGTTGTCTTTCTCTTTATTTAATATCTTTTTAATATCGGGAAAAAAAAATAGGTGTGAATATAAAGAATCATTTAACCATTTGAATGATTCTAGGGTCACCTAGACGTGCGGAGGCGACTTGGAATGTATTTAAAGTGAAAAATATCAACTCTGGGTGAACACTGGGTGACAGTCTCCATCCCAGAGTTGTCGTTCTCTTTATTTAATATCTTTTCAATATCGGGAAATAAAAAATAGGGGTGAATAAAAAAAATCATTGAACCATTTGAATGATTCTAGGGTCACCTAAACGTGCGGAGGCGACTTGGATTCTATTTAAAGTGAGAAATATCAACTCTGGGTGAACACTAGGTCACAGTCTCCATCCCAGAGTTGTCTTTCTCTTTATTCAATATCTTTTTAATATCGGGGAATAAATAATAGGGGTGAAAGAAAAGAATCATTTAATCATTTGAATGATTCCAGTGTCACCTAGAAGTGCGGCGGAGACTCAGGATGTATTTAAAATGAAAAATATCAACTCTGGGTCAACACTGGGTTACAGTCCCCTACCCAGAGATGTCTTTTTCTTTATTTAATATCCTTTTAATATCGAGGAATAAAAAATAGCGGTGAATAAAAAGAATCATTTAACCATTTGAATGATTCTAGGGTCACCAAGACGTGCGGAGGCGACTTGGCATATATTTAAAGTGAAAAATATCAACTCTGGGTCAAGACTGGGTCACAGTCCCCAAACCAGAGTTGATAGTTTTCACTTTAAATAAATTCCAAGTCGCCTCCGCACGACTAGGTGACCCTAGAATCATTCAAATGGTTAAATGATTCTTTATATTCACCCCTATTTTTTATTTCCCGATATTGGAAAAAATTAAATAAAGAGAAAGACAACTCTGGGATGAAGACTGTGACCCAGTGTTGACCCAGAGTTGATATTTTTCACTTTAAATATATTCCAAGTCGCCTCCGCACGACTAGGTGGCGCTAGAATCAATCAAATGGTTAAATGATTCTTTTATTCACCCTTATTTTTTATTTCCCGATATTGAAAAAAATTAAATGAAGAGAAAGACAAATCTGGGATAGAGACTGTGACCCAGTGTGGACCCAGAGTTGATAGTTTTCACTTTAAATATATGCCAAGACCCCTCCTCATGTCTAGGTGACCCTAGAATCATTCAAGTGGTTAAATGATTCTTTTTATTCACCCCTATTTTTTATGTCCCGATATTGAAAAAAATTAAATAAAGAGAAAGACAACTCTGGGTTGGGGACTGTGACCCAGTCTTGACCCAGAGCTGATAGTTTTCACTTTAAATATATTCCAAGTCGCCTCATAATAAGCGTTTTTGAATCAATGAAAATTAGGAAATTGTTGAATAACGAAAATTAATTGGTTTGATATTTCACATCCGATTAATTTTTTCCCCGAGCAGGAAATAGTATTTTTCACACCTAGGACGCAAAAAGGGAATCTGACGAATGCGACTTTATAGTCCGAGTCGGAGACGAGGATCATAACGCGCATGAGTCAGAATCACTTTTTCGCCGTGGCTATGATGTTATTTTATGGCACTGTGGCCGGTAAAACGCGTTTTTATCCGAGCGAAGCGATCGCTTGACTTCGCAAAATATTCGATCAAAGTAAAGATTTTATTTTATTAAGACCTTTTTCTTATTTTAGAAATTGAATATTTATCAAACGCGACATAATCAAGAGGTGGATCTGAAATTTTCTACAGAATTGTCTTTCTGTGTTTTCGCTGGGGCCGGGGTCACAATGCCCATCCGGCTAAAGCTAGACCAGAGCTAGAGATTCCAAAATCTTATTAATTTTGTTTCGTGTGATAAGAAAAATTTGTAAAATTCAAAACAGATAATTTTTTAAGTCTTATTGTCAATCAGATCAGATCAGCGACATCATTGATGCTTTTCCATTAAATACTTGCTCTCCCTTTTTCCCGTTTGATTTGTAACAAAATTCTTCATTCATCGTCGTTCTCATTTTACGGATCGTCAAGATTAATGAGAACTATCGATTTGGTTTCATTACCTATACAATTTCAAAATTTCAATACGTGATTTATTAATGCAGCATTGCTAGGCTCACTGAATAAGATTTTTTAAAATCATTTTGAACTGAATTTTATTCAAAGAGCAATTATTTCGAAATTTTGTATGATTTTGTATGATTCCTGGTGCTCCCGTTTTCCAGTATTCCGTCTACTTCGACTTTTGATAAATGATCTGAAATTCTTTTAATTCTCTATAAAATCCAGCAATTTTGGTAATTTTTACTTCTAAATAGAAGTTTTCCAAACAGTCGATTTTTCAATTTACTAACTTCTCCGGAAACGAAATGATACGAGATTTGTACATTGTGTATGTACATGTGGCCGAGAGGATGTGTCAATTATTTCGAAAAATTTGATTATTCACGATATGAACATAACTAAAGTTGAACCTCAGAATCTAAAATTTCTGAAAAAGAAAGAAAAAGGCTTTCAGAAACCATGGAATGACTCAACAGTACAGACGGCCGATAGTGTAGGGTTCTAGTGTACTTTTCTGTGATACTGACTACAAGGATATTCTGTCTTCCGCGCAGTCATTTTTGAACAAGCGGTGTTGCTAAGCGGTCACCCGGCTTGGGTACAGTCAGCTCGAAATCTTTTCAGAAGCGCAGGGTAACTCGAAGAAAGCGCAAGTGAGGCTGTGGTAGAAATATGCACGCCTACACTAGGAAGGCGTAACGCTCAGTGAAAACAGAAAAGTTCGTCTGCGGAAAAGAACAATGTTTTTTAAAAACTGTTCGTTCGGCCAAACCTATTAAATAATAAACGAAACAATAAGTATCTTCCTCAGAAAAACGGCGAATGACATTTACATGGTTCATCTGTTTCTTAAATTCATGAAAATGATAAATAGTGATTAGTTGATTGTGATGACTTTTTCCACTCAATAGAATTATAGTATCGAAATATATTGGCACAGTATAGTTTTCTAGTTCGTGGGCAACCTTCAGGTAGGTCGAAGCAGAGTCATACACACGTATTGGAAATCCAGTAAAGTTTCTAACCGTGCCAATTGTAAGGGCTGTAGTACGATCATAGTGGGGACAGTAGTAGGGGGCCTCACAGTTACAGTATTGTGGAACGTCCCATGAAGCGTCTGTCATGTGGTAAAGTGAGAAAAATAGCCGCCCTGATGAATAAAAAAAAAGAAATTAAACAATCCAAACCTGGACAATGATATTTTCAGAATAGGATGTGTGATTCGTTGAAATTTTTAGACATGGTCTGTTAAAATCTGAATTGAATTTGGAAAAAGGAAATGATGGACTTTGTCACCTACGTGAATAAATTATTATTTATTAATTAAATCCTGCGAAATTAGTTTTTTTTTTTCAATAGAATTTTTTCCACTCTTGGCCACTATTTTTCAATGCTGTTCAATGGAAACCACGGGGAGGTAGCAGGCGTATTCCGCCAGGGAAAATCATTGAAGGGGGTTAAAGAGCGATATTAAGTGAAATGCATCTGTCAAGTTTATTAAAAAATAATGTAAAAAATACGTACCAAACCCTCCACTTGATTGAATAACAGTTATATGCAATGCTACGTTTGTTATTTTACTATTTTTCAGTAAACTTGGCAAATCCCTTTCGTAAAAATTTCATGACGATTGACTAAATTTTTTTTAGATTTGTTTAAACAATATAATGTTTATTGATAAAATTACATACAATAGAATAATTTTCTATGGCTCTTTCTTTAACTAATTCAGGCATTGCAATATTAATTTAGAATGAATCGCGATAGATATTGCGAATTATAGAAAGACTTATAAACTTTTGTTTTGACTGTATGTACAGAACATCCTTAATTGATTCAGCAGTCCATGAAAATATACCAGTATATGCGTAAAAGTGCCCTGAACAACATATCCAAATTTTTACGGCCAGTTCAATCAGGAACATAAATAAGTTGATTAAAAGCTATCGACTTTTTTAGGTTTGATGCCGAGAATGTCAACCGTGTCAATTGAGCTCGTCCAATTGCAAACAAAAATATCGGCATGTAGAGCCAAAATTCAACTACGAATCCATACCAAGAAGGCATGCCCTACTTTATATAGTTATAATGTAAAATAATACTACGCAGCTCAATCCAACACGCGCGATGCGCAATGGATTTGGAGGTATGTTCCGCGTTCTTATGAATCCTCATATGATAATTGTCGATTTTCTCCCCGGCGGGAGCAAAGTACACACTTCCCTCCCGCTGCGCGGTAGGGATTCTGACTTTGCTCCTACGCCGGGGAGAAAAATGACGTTCTCACCACGGAAAGTAAAATAAAGAAGGCTTACCCACGTGCAGAATTACCACCCGAGCCGATATACTATTCTATTATATCAGGTGATTACATCGTCCCGAGAAATAATTGAAGGATTTAGCAAATATGTGACATGTTTGTATGGGATATTCAATAGTATATTGCTTTTCTGGTAAGCGCGTGGGTAAGCCTTCTTTATTTTACCTTTCGTGGTGAGAACATCATTTTTCTCCCCGGTGTAGGATGTTACGACACGTTTTCAATAAATATTTGATAGTGATTATCAAATAAATAATGTAAACTATGCGTATTATGTTCTCCTGTTTTAAGCCTACCTTTCGGAAATAGCTTGGGATCGGAGTAAATGCCGAGAGAAATTAAATAAGAAATGGATAATCTTCTTTCAGAACTTTAATTATTTATTATACATGATAATAATGGAAAATCAATGGAACCGATCCTATCAATTTAAATTTTTAAATTCAAGAACTAAATTAATTTAGAACTTTAACTTGATGAGGAGCGATTTCCTTGAGAACAATCGTTCTTAAATGTGAACAATATAATTCTCTGACAGTTTTAACGGAATTTATTTTTCCTTTTTATATTTTATCCCTTTAATGAATACAATTTATTCCTTTTTGTTTGACCATCCTTAAATGAATTTTATTTGATATATTATATTTAAAGAAACCTTTAATATTAAATAAACTCATCTAAAGCGTTGCTCTAGCAGACCTCTGAGATTTCCCTTTTGGAGGTCCTTGCTTCTTCCCCTCTTTTTCTTCAGTGTGGATCTTTTAGTTGTTTTTTAATACCTCTCTGATGTCAACGTATCTTCCTGGATGTGTGTGTTGTTCCTTGGTATAAATGTTTAGTCTTGCATGAATATTGTTGGGTGCCTCCTTTTTAGTGTGGATGGTCCTTTTTCTTGACTGAATACTTCCTTGGTATAAATGATTAATCCTTGCGTGAATGTGAAATTTCTCTATGGAACTGCACTGATTTTTCCTTTTTTTCTTACTGACTTTTTAGCGGAACTGAACTGAGTGACTCTCTTTTTCTCTCTGCTGTCCGTCCGCTGGACAACGCCTTTTCATGATCATTATTAATTGGTGTATGTTAATTCATAAACGAATTAATAATTGTATGGGGGTGGGGGAATATGGTGCACTGATGAGTGCCCATACATTTTTCTTAGGAGAGGGAATAAGTATTGGATGGGATATTGGGCACGCGAGTAGCGTGGGCGCGAGGGAATTGGGAAGGGGGCGGGTTGCGTAACGCATTCGTTGGTGCGAGAGGAGGCCGATGGAGGATTTTGGAGTATGGGGTAAGGGGTATCCGCTTGGAGACAGTCGTATGACTATTTCTAAGTGTAATGCAATGCCAAGGGTGATAAGGCCCCTTGGTAACGCATTCCTTTTCGTTATTTAATATGAGAATGTTAAATGAACATTCTCATATTTGAATTTCTACTTGTTTTACCTTTGTAAAACAAGTATTGGAATTTTCAATTAATTCCCATTTTTTTTATAAAAAAAAATAAATTATTGCATTTTAATGTTATTGCTAAATTCCATTGGAAATTCATTTTTTCAATGGGATTGAACAATAATTTTGTACGTCTTGACGTAACAAGAAGTAAAGTCAGAATTCGCTGCGCGGGAGGGAAGTGTGTACTTTGCTCCCGCTGGGGAGAAAAAGATTATAATATTCATATTCCTGACAGCGCGAAACGTACATTGAAACCCATCGCGTATTGCGCGTGCAGGATTGAGGTGCGTGTGTAAAGAAGGGGTGAACTATAAAAAGTCAACAAATTGATGAGGTTATGACACTTCAGTATTTTTTTGCACCACAATTGTATAAAGTAGGGCATGGTTTTTTGTTACAGAATTTGTAGTTAAATAGTCCAGGCAAATTAGGTCTAACATGTGTTCTTTCGATCCAAAACGCTTTTTGTATAGAAATGTATGTTTTGGTCGTGTGATTAACGGGCAAGTAATTTTAAGTGATTTAAGTTTGTGCATTCCGAGAAAAAAATTAAAAACTACCCTCAGAAAGGGTTTTTCGCGATTAACTTGAAAACTACACTAGATGCAGAAAAAAAGGTCAAATATAATTTGAAGAGCAAAACGTTCCCCATAAGAAACATATTAAGCACTTCATCCTTATTTTGTACCGTTTAACTCCTACAACCGTTCAAAATCTGAGTCATTATATTTAAATACCGTTCAAAATCTGAGTCATTATATTTAAAAATAACAACATAATTCAATCTAAAAAATTATTATGAAATAGGAAGGGTAACTTCTAATCCAATAGATGAAAAATTTTTTTTTTCTTCCATAATTTTTATTCTTAAATATGAAACAAAATTTATCTAAAACATTTTCATCCATCCCTTATATTTTAGAAGGTAGACGCGATTTTCCGATTCCACCTCTCAATATATTTTCGCGCTGAGAACCGCTACTCCGAAAGCCCATTATATTACAAGTCTCGTTCTCAATGATAATTATCGTAGTCATGCTTGTCATGCTTCATATCACAACGTTCAAAGTGTAAAGTATAAATTTGGCGCCGCGGCTCCCCTGGCGCCCTCTCCCTAGATGTTTCCTCATATTGTTTCGTTGTGCCGAAGTATCGACACGTTCTTTTGTGTATTCTCCCCAAAAAATTATTTTAAAGAAGTTGTTATAAACAAAAAAAAAAAGTAGAACAATGCCAGACCATAAGAAGAAAAGGTCGAGGTCACGATCAAGAGATCGTCGTCGAAATAAGAACCAAAAATTGGATGATCTACAAACACAGATGAATAACCTCACTAAAGTAGTGGAACTTCTGGCCCGCCAAAATGTGCAACCTCAACTGCCAAAAGAAGCAGAGGGTGATGAATTACTGAAAGGTAAAAAAAAAAAAATGAAGAAAAATCTCAAAATTCCACACGAATTTCGAGAATCAGCACTCACACAGTGCTCTTATTAAATCTCGGATTTCCACACAAGATCCGAGAATTAGTGGCCATACGCCACTAATATACACAATAAGTGTTGTTTTATCTTTTTTTTCTCTTCACCTTTCGTTACACACCTTTGATCCTCTTTTGACTTGTCGGTACATTCGTTCTTTCTTTATTTTACTTATAGACCATGAGGATAAAGAAAATAACCCCGAAGAAAACCCATTTGATGGGGCTGTCAGTCAAGAAAAAGATGTGCCAAATGAGACTACATCACAGGACAATATCCTGAAAGTTCTCGGTGTTGATCTGGATGAATTAAAATACAAAGATATTAAATATCATCCAGAGCTTAAAAACACCTGGTCGAAATGGCTGAAGCAAGGCCTTCCAGACAAGAATAAGAAGGATATTCTCCAATTATATAATCGGAAAGGCGATCTATTCACAGAGGCCCCAAAAGTTAACCTCGAGATTGTCCCGCTATTGTCTGAAATTGCCAAAAAGCGAGATCAACATTTCTTACAGACACAGAATTATGTAGGGACAGCTCTGTCAGCCCTGGGTGCTGCGGTCTCCATGCTCCTAGACCCACCAGAAGAAGGTCTAGATGAAGACGCCTTCACCGATTGCCTAAGTCACGTTGGACAGATCCTGACAGAAGTTTTCCATCAACAATCAATAGTTCGTAAGTCCTTCATCACCCCTCAGCTAAGCAAATCTATTAAACCAACAGTGGATGCAGTCATTTCCGATGAATGGCTATACGGAAATCACTTAAAGGACAAAGTCAAGGATGCAAAGGAGATAGAAAAAGCATGTGCCCAAATAAAAGAGAAGACTCAACCAAAAGCGCCTCTGAAAGCTCGAGTGCAGGGAAACTGGAAAAACCCTCCTGCCAGTCAACAGCAGGTGGGTTATCGCCCAAAATCACGTTTCCTCCAGTTCAAGAGGAAGAACCCCTACCAGAGCTCAACGCAGAAGTTTGCCAAAACGACGAGTCATCAGACGACGAGCCAATCGTCGTCCAAGAAATAGGCCAGGTACAAAAACCAGCTGGCCGCCTACGTTTTTATGCGCAGGAATGGAGAGCGATCTCGTCAGACAAATATATTTTAGATTATTTACAAGGATATCGAATCCCATTTACGGCAATGCCAATCCAAAATACTCCCCCAGCGGAACAAGTATTTACTGCAAAACAATTGGATCAGGTTCAAAAAGAAATCGACAAATTATTTTTTAAAGACGCGATTGTGGAGTGTTCACCATGCAGAAATCAGTTCATTTCTCCTTTCTTCCTCGTTCTTAAACCAGATGGCAGTTGACGTTTTATTATTAATCTAAAACAATTAAATCAATACATCGATCCTCCTCATTTCAAATTAGAAGACATAAAATCTGCTCTCAGCCTAATATCCCCTGGTGACTTCATGGGTACAATTGACCTAAAGGACGCCTATTTTGTTGTGCCTATATTTAAAGGTCACAGAAAATTTCTCAGATTCCAATTTAGAGGAAAATTATTTGAATTCACATGCCTTCCCTTTGGTCTGTGTACCAGTCCATACATTTTCACAAAGGTAATGAAGCCGGTAGTTAATTATCTGAGGTCCAAGGGATTTTTAATTGTATTATATCCAGATCATTTTTTAATTATAGATAAGACGAAAAAGTCATGTGAATCCAAAATGAGGCAAACAGTAAAATTTCTTGAACATCTTGGTTTTTTTTAGAAAGTATGATAAAAGTTCTTTAATCACCACTCAAAATTGCAAATATTTAGGTTTTCTAATAGATTCTGTTGAATATTCTTTAAAGTTAACGGATAAAAAGAGAAAACAAATAACAGAACTCGTTGAATCTTTCCAGATTGGGAAGAGTTACAAGATCCGCGAATTTGCGAAGTTTTTAGGCATACTAACAGCAGCTTGTCCAGCGGTAGCCTATGGGTCGATTCATTGTAAAACCCTGGAGAGACAAAAATTTTTATCTCTTAAATTCAATGGTGGAAACTATGAGAACAAAATTTTCATCAAGAAATGTATGATGGAAGATCTGGCCTGGTGGAAAGAAAACGTTAAGACCGGTGCAAATCCAATCCGAAGAATGAACTTTGAAGTGGAGATTTTTTCAGACTCGTCATTATCTGGCTGGGGGTGTTATTCTAACGGAGTATCAGCTCATGGTTTTTGGAATGAGGAAGAAAAGAAGCATCATATAAATTATCTTGAATTATTGGCCGCTTTCATTGCTTTGAAATGTTTCGCGTCAAAGATTCAACACTCCGAAATACTCCCTCGTGTAGACAATACTACCGCAATTTCCTAAATAAATAGAGCACCCGGTGTACAATTTCCCCATTTAAGTAAATTAGCAAAGGAGATATGGAGTTGGTGCGAGGAAAGAAAAATTTGGGTAAAAGCGTCTTACATTCCCTCAACAGAAAATTTTTATGCAGACAAAGCTTCTCGCAATATCGAAACAGAAACTGAATGGGAAATCTCTCAGTCGGTTTTTGAGCAAATCGAAAATAAGTTCGCAAAATTTTCTGTGGACTTATTTGCCTCCAGATTAAACAGGAAGTGTCCTAGATTTTATTCGCGATTCCCGGACCCGGAAGCTCACACAGGAGACGCCTTTACGGTTAAATGGACCAATGAATATTTCTATGCGTTCCCTCCCTTCGCTCTTCTTCTTCGCACTCTTAGAAAAATTATCAATGATAAAGCCGAAGGGGTCGTTGTAGTACCATTATGGCCAACTCAACCGTGGTATCCTCTTTTTAAAGCAGTATGTAATTAGCCGCAAATTATCAACAATTACAAAAACGAACTCATACAATCGATTGTAAATCGTTCGCAGGCGATTGTAAAAAAGGTCATAATGTTTAAGAGTGGATAGTTTTTTTATAAAAAATAAAAAACTTATGACCCATGTAGTTAGCCGCATTTTTTTTTCTAATCACTCTTAAATGATTTTTTTTATTGTAATTGTTTGCAATTCGTTTGTAAATACTATATTCATTTGAATCGACGTTTAAGAGTCATTAGTCTGGAAATTATCAGCAATAAACGTGATTGCAAAAGTGCGTGGAGGGGATAAGATTTTGCAAGTATGACGGCGCATGCGCAACTATTCAGAGGATTTTTCTGTTATACGTTCAAAAATAGATTAATGGCTTTCTCACTTTAATTTTGAAAGATTTCACTACGGCTGTCTTTTAATTGAACATTGAGTGACACATCGAAACCATTGTACTTTTTGTAAGTACATTAACAATTATAATAACTTGTTCACTAATGGGTGACATTTGGAGAGCAATTATCGTTTGAGTAATCCCTGGTTATTCCCACCCAAGCTTACAGCTTATGCTGTGAATTTCATAAACCCAGTTAGGGTTGGGCAAAAACCTTGAATTCAATCCTTACGTTTTTTTGTTAAACAGAAGTGTTAAACCAATGTCTCATGACAAAAGTTATGGGGTTCTGTCAGCCCATATTCTGCTTGGGTGGGAATAGCAGAATATGGGCTGACAGAACCCCATAACATTTGTCATGAGACATTGGTTTAACACTTCTGTTTAACAAAAAAACGTAAGGATTGAATTCAAGGTTTTTGCCCAACCCTAACTGGGTTTATGAAATTCACAGCATAAGCTGTAAGCTTGGGTGGGAATAACCAGGGATTACTCGAACGATAATTGTTCTCCAAATATCACCCATTAGTGAACAAGTTATTATAATTATTAATGTACTTACAAAAAGTACAATGGTTTCGATGTGTCACTCAATGTTCAATTAAAAGACAGCCGTAGTGAAATCTTTCAAAATTAAAGTGAGAAAGACATTAATCTATTTTTGAGCGTATAACAGAAAAATCCTCTGAATAGTTGCGCATGCGCCGTCATACTTGCAAAGTCTTATCCCCTCCACGCAATTTTGCAATCACGTTTATTGCTGATAATTTCCAGACTAATGACTCTTAAACGTCGATTCAAATGAATAGAGTATTTACAAACGAATTGCAAACGATTACAATAAAAAAAATCATTTAAGAGTGATTAGAAAAAAAAATGCGGCTAACTACATGGGTCATAAGTTTTTTATTTTTTATAAAAAAACTATCTACTCTTAAACATTCTGACCTTTTTTACAATCACCTGCGAACGATTTACAATCGATTGTAAGAGTTCGTTTTTGTAATTATTGATAATTTGCGGCTAATTACATACTGCTTCTTTTTAACGCTATTCTAATTGAAAAAACCATTCTCTTCCGACCTAACCATTCTTTATTAATATCTCCTTATAGAGACCAAACTCACCCGCTGGCATCCCACCTTTCATTGGTGGCAGGAAAATTATCTGGTCAGCGTATCAAAGGAAAGGAGTGCCAGAAAACGCGCTGGAAGTAATGGTCAATTCCATTTCGGAATCAACACTCAAACAGTACAACTGCAGCTTGAAAGCGTGGTGGACTTACGCCCATTCACAAAAACTAGATATTTACCAGCCGAGTACATCTGATATTATAAGCTTTTTGAACAGTAGACTAACTGAAGGGGCAAAGTACAGTACCTTAAATACTTCACATGCAGCGGTGTCTCTAATTGCAATTCATGATGTTAATGAAGATGGGTTAATTTCTCGTTTTATGAAGGGTGTATTTAAGAAAAACCCGACTGCACCAAAATATACCACGACTTGGGATGTCTCTCCGGTTTTATCCGCCCTTGAAAAAATGCACCCTCTCAAGGGCCTTAAGTTAAAAGATGCAGCAGAAAAAGTAGCAACCCTGTTAGCCTTAACGACTGCACAGAGACTGCAAACTCTGTCAGCAATAAATATTGAAAACATTTCTATCCAAAGTTCAACTATTAGTATCAAAATAACGGAAAGACTAAAAACATCAAAACCAGGCTCCTTTCAGCCTGATTTAATTCTACCATTTTTCTTAAGTAAGCCGGGCCTGTGTGTGGCATCTGCAGTTTTGGAATATATTCATATAACCGAAGACTTACGTAGTCCTACTGATAAGAGATTATTCATTTCAACTAAAAAACCCTTTAAAGAGGTATGCGCGCAAACTGTCGGTCACTGGATAAAAAATTTTTTACTCAAAGCTGGCGTTGATGTAGATAAGTTTACAGCTTACAGCACCAGACACGCCGCAGTATCTGCCGCCCATCAACGTGGTGTGGACATTTCGGTTATCAGACGTACTGCTGGATGGTCTGAAAACTCTGATATGTTTTTTAAATTTTACAACAGACCTATCCAACCGCCTAACGACCAGTTTGCTCGTGCGATTATTAATTAAGTTATATTCTTCATATTTCCATGGATGCTTTGATTAAGATAATCTATATTTTTCCTGTTTTCATAGATGCTTTGATAAAAATAATAAAGAAAAAGCAATCAATATATGAAAGACTGAACTTTATTTAAAAAAAAAAAAGATGCTATTCTATAAGAATACATCATAAAGAATTATCACAGCCGTTAAAACACTACGATAATTATCATTGAGAACGAGACTTGTAATATAATTGCGAGATCAAACGAGCCCGCGAAGCGGGCGAAGTTTGATCAAAATTATATGAAAAGTCTCGTTCGAAGATGATAATTGCCCACCACATCTTTCAACCCCTCAAAGTAAACAATTAATTTTCCCCGTTATCATCTTCATTTTACCGTGATAATTCTTTAACTCGTCAAACAAACAATATGAGGAAACATCTAGGGAGGGGGCGCCAGGGGAGCCGGGGCGCCAAATTTATACTTTACACTTTGAACGTTGTGATATGAAGCATGACAAGCATGACTACGATAATTATCATCTTCGAACGAGACTTTTCATATAATTTCGATCAAACTTCGCCCGCTTCGCGGGCTCGTTTGATCTCGCAATTCTATCTATATATATCGCATACGTTGCCAGTTGCTGTGACGTCATATCTACGCTGTGCGCATGCGCGGAATGACAACCTTGAATATTTGTAAGCCCGAAAATCATGGAAAGACCTGTGAAACTCTTTTCGTCAGTTGCTCTGTCTCTTTCCCTCCCTACCACTCTTTCTCTCTTCCTTACTCTCTCAAGCAAGGAAGATATGTGCAAAATAAATACATGAAAATCTCGATTATAAGAGGATTTTTCCCGGGTTAACATCTGGGGATAATTGTTATATCCTGCGTGGAGGGTACTTATATTTATTGTAGGTTCTAGGCTAGAAGGGATAAATTCCATCAAGAGTTTATAGGTATTTAAATATGAGCATTTATTACTTTAACTATGTCATCTGGCTGGCTACAATGATTACGACTAACACAAGTCGGAGCCCGATTTGGATCTGATCCTTTTGTATACCCAAACGGCGTCTTAAATACATAATTATTTGTGGGTGATTACGTGCGTATCCATTCGCGGAGGGATGTTGCCATTCCTCACACGTTTTTACTCTCTTCCAAGGTGGCTCGACCCCAAACGGGACACGGATTACCGACGAATTACCTCACCCCGCATGGCGCTCAACATCTCGAAGCACATGCGATTTTGGTATCCGTAGACCTTTGTCACCCACCTAATGCCCACCCCAACTCGAGCATGCTTAGTAACAGCAATCTCATCGCCAGCCAAAACCAGAGCTACTTTCCATGGAGGCACGCGCGATCGGGGTTACGGGAATCAACTCCATTCCCAACCCTTAATTCATCCCAACACCATCAGTTTCACCCTGGAGATGAGTCTCTGTACCCGAAGGCGTTCCCTTCGCAACCACAAAGTAATCCCTTTCACCAGTCGGGGACGCATAGACGTCCCAATCTCTCGCTATCCCAATCTACGATTGGGAACACGTACCCATCGTAATTCCATCGAGGATTATTGTCCCCAACTGGTGACGAGCTCGGAAAACATCCGCTCGCCACCAACACTTCACTCCGACTGCCTCGACATCTCCCAGGGTCTTCTCCCCCAAGTCTGAACCTCTCGGCGTCTGCGGGTCATCCGTTACCCTACAAGCACTAATCAGTTCGACGGGATTACGGGGCATTAGTCCTTTCACCTAGCCATTGCTCCCTGGTCTAAATCGACGGAGCCCTTTGGAATCACCCACGGAACACCTGTACGTCGGCCCTGGACTCCTTAACACAGCTGGGCGGGTTTCCCAAATAGGCGACAGCCATCGTCAGCGTCATCATAGCGTTCGGAAACATGGTCTCACCCTACCACATCATTCTTTAGTCTTTAATAATTTATCTACCCTTACCCTGGTGTCACCCTTCTTCTCCCCAAGTGTGGTACAAGTTTTTGGGAAAAAAACGGGACGATTGCGCATTGGCCTCTCTCTCATTAATGTTCATCTAATGTCAAAAGTTACATGTTTACGCATTTTTCTGACGTTCATGGCCCATAAATTGCGGACTTTCTTTGACGATGGAAAAGCTATTGTTCATTAGAAAACTTGTATGTCAAATGGAGTGGACCCTTTGAAGCTGGGGATGTCCCCTTGTTTGGATAATAAGAAATCATCTGGTGAATCGTGCTAATTCCTGGAAGCCTTGTCATAACTTTCGTTATATATGGGGTGCAGGTGACGGCATGGTCACGGCCAACCCCCTGTCACCAATGGGAGAGACGCTCACCATCTAATGGGTAGAGGCGCTCGCCGAATAATACTTAAAAATATAATGTTTTCAGCCTCTTGTATCACAGCACCATCTAGTTTAATCTTTGGAGGGGTTACAATGTCAGGGATTTATTTTTGGTGAACATCATACATTTAGTTTTCGTTTTTGACAACCGCAGACCTTTCCCTTCTAGCCGTTTACTCAAAAGCTTTAATAATATGCCATAGTTCTTATAAGTTGTTTTCTGACGATACGATTTTACAAATACTCTTGAAACTTCTGCGTTTAATTTTCCTATGTTCCCTCTTAAGTTTCTTTCTTACTGTTACATAAAAATCATCCCCATCTCTGTCGGGATTTCTTCAAGGTTCATCAAGACCACTGCATTTTGTACTGAGATGGTGGGGGTCCTCCTCCACCAAACCGCATCTCGGGCAAACAGGGTCATCTCCCATGCCGATTCTCGCCAGGTAGGCAGCTAACGGCCAGTGTCTCGTGATAAGCCCTAAAAGGGCTCGCAGCTTTACCCTGCTTAGGGACACGAGTTCGTCAGCCAGTTTCCTGGAGGGTTCCCGGAGAAGGGATCTGGTGTGTCTGGCGCCCATCCCTGAGCTCCATCTCTCCACCACTCCCCTGTCCGCGCGCTTTTGGATTATTTCCTTTATGTAGTCTGAATGAACGCCAACGTGGTCTTCATCCACCGGCGCCATTGCCTGACATCCCTGTTTGGCCAGCATATCGGCTTTTTCATTGCCAAGTATGCCGGCGTGACCTGGTATCCAGGACACCTTTAATTTGTTGCAGGTTGCAACTTTATCCATCAACTCTATGCAGTCGTTTACCAACCTGGAGCCACTCTCGTGTTTAAGTAGGGCCCCTAGTGCCCGCCTGCTATCCGCGTAGATGTGTATTACCTTGCCCTTGTCCTGCCTGGCCGGTATAATTCTGGCGCAGGCTCTCAAGGCAGCTAATTCTGTTTGAAGCGGGGTGGCGTGTGGGTCCAGTTCAAGGGCCTTATCAACGGAGGGTCGATTGGACCACGCGCCTGCTCCCGCTCGGCCGCACATCTTGGAGCCGTCCGTGTACCAGACCAGCCCGTGAGGTGGCGACCATTTAGAGTCCACCCAGGCCTGTGTGTCCGCAGTGCCTAGGTTAACCTTGAACCTCTCGTGAGGGTGCCATTCAGTTCTGCATGCGTCTCCCCCTTTGGGCAGCGAGCCAAGGAGCACCCTGTCCCCCGTGAGGAGCAAAGCATGTCCCTTCTTAGCCTCCCTCCAGGTGCCAGTTAGTTTCAGCCTGGCTGCTGTTGACAGTGCCACATCTCTTATGATGAGGTGTGGCGGCTGCATGAAGAGTAGCGCTTCCAATGCCGAGGTTAGAGTCGTTCTGAGCGCCTCCGTAACTCCCAGCAGAGCAAGCCTCCCCAGTCTATCCATCGTTTTCCTGTGGCAGGCCTTGTTCATGGCCGGCCACCAGGCAACAGCTGCATAGGTTAGTTATGGGAGCATGATGGCTGTATAGATCCATCTTACGACCTTGGGTCTTAGCCCCCATTTGCTTCCAAACATCCATCTGCAGGCCCAGTATGTCCCTATGACTTTACTGGTTTGCATGTGATGTGCTTTTTCCAGCTGAGTCTTCTGTCGATCCATAGACCCAGGTACTTTACGTCCTCTGAGAAGCTCAGTACTGTGTTATAGATAGAGGGGGGTTTAACCACCAATCTCCTCTTGCCAGTGAAGAGCACCATCTCGGTCTTTCCGGGGTTAACCTTGAGGCCATTTGATGTGCACCATCGCTGTACGTGATCTAGTGCCTTTTGCATTTTAAAAGATAGCGTACCGCCGTCCTTACTGGACACAAGCAGCGCTACGTCGTCTGCATAGCCTATCGCCTCCAGGAGCCCGTTTTGAAAATAATTGAAATTTTTATCGGAAAAATCAATTATTATGGATCAAACGGTAAGGAAGTTCTGAATGCAGCACAATTGACACGAACAGTTGACAATGAATTTAGTGGCGATATCGAACACGACCCGGTACTATTTCTCGAAAAAGTTCTTGGCAAAACGTATCAGCTACGAAAACCGAGTCGAATAGAATTCATTCATCTAGATCGTTGGACGTCATTTAATTTCATGAATACTTCCAAGGAACTATTCAATTATCCATATGTGTATTTTTTGAGGTATACACAGAAGAGCAGGCGCGCTAAGTGGACTTTTTTTCGAAAATCGAATTGGCGATTGGCGAAGCTAGTTACCGTTGGTGGCGCTAGTTTTGTCAAAATCGTTAATTTAATCGTTAATTTCTGATGCCGGCAATTTGTAGAGGGCCTTTTCTTCTTTAGCGTTTCTGATGGCGACCTTTCTATTCATTTACATTACATCCCTCTAATCAATATGATTTGTGAACGACATGATTGGCGTCTGTTTCATTTCACGTATTTTTTTGTTAATAAAACTGAGAATATTTTTTAGGAAAATATGATCATACAATAAAACCTCCAGTTGGCAAAATTTTTTCACAAAAGTTTTTTTGTGATTTTTAGATTTGTACATTCTACGTTCCACCAAATAGTTGACGGGGAGGCACTTCGTAGGTTTGTGTTGGTTTTTTTCGTCGCCGCATCAGCTAATTTGTATAATATGTTTTGGACTAATTCCTCGTATACTTCTACTGATGAGGTACATTGAGATTCTTCAAGGTAT